AAACATATTTTACATATTTCATCAACTGTATAAATAGAGCAGATTCAGAATTTTTTGACCAAATCCCTGTAGGAAATAAATCCCTCCCCCTTCTCTTTTCTTAATTTAGCCTTATAATGTTCAGTTCTGCCCAATGTTTATTTAGGTGAACTCTTTTCATTCTCATTAATTATTGTTTTTTTTTTTGAAAGATTTATTTTATGAATTTGAAAGGCAGAGTTACAGAGAAAGAGGGAGAGACACAGAGAAACAGAGATCTTCCACCTGCTAGTTCACTCCACAAAGAGCTGCAGCAAGAGCTAAGACTAGGCCTGGCTGAAGCCAGGAACCTGGAACTCTATCCAGGTCTCCTGTGTAGGTGGCAGGGACCCAGGCACTTGGGCAATCTTCAACTCTTTTTTTTTTTAATTTTTAATTTTAATTATTTTTTTTAAAAATTCAATGTAGTTCATAAATACAATTCTAAGAATATAATGATAATCCTTTCCTTCCTCCTTCCCCCATTCTTCCTCCAACACTCCTTCCTTCTGCTTTCATCTTTAAAATTTACAAGCTATATTAGCAGGGAGCTGGATCCAGAAGTGCAGCAGCTGGACTTGAATCAGTGTCCACATGGGCATCTGGCATTGGCTTAACCTGCTGTGCTACAATGTTGGCCCTATCATTTTAATGTTTTTATTTATCACGTGCTATTGTTTAAAACAGCACAGTAAAAATGTTAAATTTCAAAACAGGGAAATAAGGAATTCTTGGAAATGCTTAAAGATATATAAACAATAAATGTTAAATGAGGGTTCTTCAAAAAAGTTCATGGAAAATATTAAATTAAATGACTATTTTTATGTAAAATTATTTTAAAAACAAGGCAAGGTTTTTTCATAATATTCATTTTCTACATTTTATAGAAAAAGTGCTTTGTTACAAATAGTAAAGATTTTGAGAATCAAGATTAAGTGTCAGGTACCCCAAACTTACTTTTTTTTATAGAATTTCAAATCAGTACATCTAGCAGAACACAACATCTTATCTAAGTTCTAAAAAGGCATTTCTCTTATTTTCTCACCTGCCCATCCAACTATGCTACTCCATTAACATCAAGAGGTCCTTTCTGTTGAGATAGAGTTATTATCTAGATACTTAAGGAACAAATAAGGTCTCTCTCACTTTTCTGTATTGCCTTTTGATTTTGCCTACCTTGCTTGGGACCACTCCTTACAAAACTTGAATATCTAAGTACATATTTTATAGATCAAAGAGTTTGGGCTTAAATAGCCTTTGCACATTTGAGGACTTCCAAAAGTTTCTTTGAAGTTTTGAGCTTTCAACTTTGATAATCAAAGAGTGACTCTGAAGGAAACAAGTGGAAAGTAGCTGCTGAATGTTATTCTCATTTGACACGAATTGAAGCCAAAGGAAACAGATTTGTTCTTCAGCTGTGGAAGGATATACTCCCTTTGTAACACAATGTGAAATAAAAACACATTGTGTAAAGTTCTGCAGCCCTTAACTTTAATAAGACAGTTTCTGTCACATTTTAAACTGATCACTAAATGTCATAAGATAGCAACACTCTTTCTAAGGAAATCACAGATGTATTATCCTAGGAAATCTTAATATTTTGCAACTGTCATTTTATAATTATAAGTTATCAATGTTATCAGTTATCAATGCTGGAACAGCTAGGTTTATCTCTTTTGGTTCCTTCGGCTTTAAATTTTACTTGCAATTACAATAGAAAGAGTAGATTGAACTATATATATCATGTGGTTTACATACTGGTTTCTTTAGTTAATGAAGAATGATATACACTTTAAAGTACCATGATTATTCTTAACTGGATAGTTATAGTGTTTTAAATTTAGGATAAACTACAATGGATAGTTTTCCTCTAGCAGAGAAATTATGCAAAAAGACTCATAGGAAAACAATTCTAATGTAAAAATTGTTAAGATGTACATTGTCATTTCTTAAATACCTGTTCTTTCAATTCTGTATTTTCAAGACTTGAATAGCCCTTAGCTATATACACTAACAGCCTTCAGATTCTTGATAACAAGAAATAGTTTTAAAACATGTATATGCGGATTTTCTTCTGGAAAATAAGCAAAATGTTAACTGTCCTGCTTTCTAACAGTGTGTCTTCCTTCTTCGATGTTTATGGTACCTCAAACATTGTCTTTAGCTTTCTTTCTTTTTTTGTTTGTTTGTTTTTAAACAGGCAGAGTGGACAGTGAGATAGATAGACAGAGAGAAAGGTCTTCCTTTTCCATTGGTTCACCCCACAATGGCCGCTTCAGCTGGCGCACCGCGCTGATCAGAAGCCAGGAGCCAGGTGCTTCCTCCTGGTCTCCCATAGGGTGCAGGGCCCAAGTACTTGGGCCATCCTCCACTGCACTTCCGGGCCAGAGCAGAGAGCTGGATTGGAAGAGTAGCAACAGGGACAGAATCTGGCGCCCCGACCAGGACTAGAACCCAGGGTGCTGGTGCCGCAGGCGGAGGATTAGCCTATTGAGCCAAGGCGCCAACCTGTCTTTAGCTTTCTGAAAATGGTGTAGCATATCATGTTAGGGAAAACAGAATTTGAATTATTTCAACTCATAAAGATAGACACTTTTGTGTCTTTTGTGTTTGTTTAACAATACTTAACAATAAGGCTACCTATCTTTATTTCTTTCAGAATATACCTTTAAAATTCTTCCAATCATAGAAATAGTGAAAATGATAAAAATAAATGTAGGAATGTGATCTGATATCAGGAAAAATTTAAGCATAATCTCTCATTACAGACTAATACAGAGGATCCCTTTGACAGAAAGCAAGATTTTAGGGATTCTTTAGGGAAGTCTGTTTCCAAAGAGTCCTAGCAATTTGGCAGTGTCACTGGCATATCTAAAGTTAATTATCATTCATTGATGAAGTGATTCATTCCAAGTCTTAGGTTATAAAAATCAGGAGCTCTAATAGTTTCTCTCATTTGCTCCCTTCCTTGGTGTGGAGTTTGGAATTAAAATGAATCATACATAGTTGAACATTAAATTCTGGCCACTGATGCACCTGTTTCCAGCTGCAGATTTTTCATATAAATAGTGTTGTTAAATAGACATTAAAGTTCTTTTGGCAGAAATTCTCAGACTCCTGCTAGAGATATCAAAAACAAACAAAAACAACAATGTGCCAGGATGTACTAGGCAGATCTGTTTCACTCTTGCAAACCAAGGGCAATCTCATTTTCTATAGGCTAAGATCAGTAACTGAAAAGCTATGAAACATTCTGGCTCTCTTCTCTTACTGTGATCTGATTAATTATTATATCCTCATTTCCACTACGTTGGTAAACATGGTCAGTCTTTGGTTCCCTAGAACACAGTTAAATTCATGAGCACAGATCATCTCACAATCCCCAAACTGAATCCACATGAGAAACTCAATTGATTCAGCTTTGCTTAAGTGTTCACCCAGCCTCAGTTTTTTGTTTGTTCTGAGCACATACTATGTGCCAGGCACTATGATCATTCAATCAACTCTATTTAAAGGACTAGGCTCACAAAGTAAAGAAGGATGGCCAGCACCATGGCTCACTTGGCTAATCCTCCACCTGTGGCGCCTGCACCCCAAGTTCTAGTCCCAGTTGGGGCGCCAGATTCTGTCCCTGTTGCTCCTCTTCCAGTCCAGCTCTCTGCTGTGGCCCGGGAGTGCAGTGGAGGATGGCCCAAGGACTTGGGCCCTGCACCCGCATGGGAGACCAGGAGGAAGCACCTGGCTCCTGGCTTTGGATCGGCGCAGCGCACCAGCCATAGCGGCCACTTGAGGGGTGAACCAATGGAAGGAAGACCTTTCTCTCTGTCTCTCTCTCTCACTGTCTAACTCTATCTGTCAAAAAAAAAAAAAAAAAAAAAAGTGAAGGCTATATATATAATGCTGACAAAGCACTCATGGTTAAAGTTAGTCATGTATTAAAATTGCAGAATTATATAAAGGAAAGCTTTAGTTTTATACATTGTAAAAAATTTATAAATTATGGTTTGTAAAAAACAGAATTGCTTTAAATTGAATTCATTGCATGTTATATCAAAAATATAATACTTTGCCATTATTTATCTACAATATATATAATTAAAATATCCATTAATGGATATTAATCAGAGGTTAGAAGATCAATCTCTCTTCATCCCTGCCTCTTTTTCTCTGTTACTCTGACTTTCAAATGAATAAATAAAGCTTTTTTTGTTTTCTTTTAAATGAAGTATATTGGAATAATTATATTGTTGCTAATTTTGAGATTTTGTTTTTGTTATTGTTATTCCTGATGTCTAAATTGTTATTCTGGATGGTGTTTTATTTGTTGCATAAGGATGAAAAAATAACTTAATGGGTTTGAGGGCACCCAAAGTTCACTGCGGTTATTTCAATTGTTAGTATGAGACATGACCACATTGGTTCTGCTCAGTTGCCTGTTTCAAAAACGAGACATTAGAGTGTGTGTATATTTATGTAGATATATTATGTTGTATTATTAACTGTAGGCACTATATCGTACAACAGATATCTAGGGCTTACTCATCTTACATAAAGGAAACTGCAACTAACACCTTGCTATTTTTCTTCCTCCCCCAAACCCTTGGTAACTACTGTGCAACTCTTTGTGTCTAGGAGTTTGACAGTTTTAGGCTCAGCAAGTCAGTGAAACTTTGCATTTTTTGTACTTCTGTGACTGGTTTATTTTAGTCAGCATAATGTCATTCAGGTTCATCCAAGTTGGAACAAATGGAAGGATTTTCTTCTAAGTTCGAATAATATTCCATTATTTGTACAAAGAACAATTTATTCATCTATATGTCATTAATGGATATTTAGGTTGATTCTATACATTTGCTATTATCAGCTTCAATTCCTTCATATTTGTATAAACAGTAAGCTTTTGCATTTTTCAGAAGACAAAATTTTAAAGAAGTATACATTGCAAAAAAATTCACCAAATTATAGAGAATAATATATGATACCTTTCAGGTGAGGGCTGTGTACATGCATTCTTTGCAAATGCAGATTTACTGGAACAAATTCTAATGTTTTCTCTCCTTTGCTGCTGCTTGATTTAAAAGAAGACCCTAGGTGGAAAAAATTAAATATTACTAGTAAATAAATAAATGATAAGGATGTATACATATATTTTTATGTATAAGTGTATATTGAAAGATTCGACAGAAAAATGTTAGAAAAAATCCAGAAAGAAAAATATATCCCATGAGTTTCTTCTCTTTCAAAACTTATTAACTCAATTATTCTTATATCATGAGATAGAATAGCACAGTTCTTTACTTCCTTATTTCAGATGCCAATGTGATATAGTTAAAAATGAAAGGTTTTATTTTTTAAAAAATCATTGTCTCTCTTATCTGCATAACCACGATGTTTATTATTATTTTCACATAACATACATGAAATGCAATCCAGTTTGAGTAAGAAAATTACTGCTTTCACACCTGTTTCCCTGCTAAGTTCCGTCAAAATGTCTTGATACATGTTCACCATTTGATCACAGTGAGTAAGGACATTTTTTCGTAGATTGTCCCAGTGTGGGGAAAGTTCACCAAGTTCTTTTAGCTCCTGGTTTCTGTTAAGAAAGACAGAACACAAACTTTATTTTTATCCTAAATACATAGACACAGAACCCTTAATCAGGGTTGTCAAGCTTATAAGGAATTGTCTCACCTTCCATCTCTGGAAAGTTCTATAAATTCATTAGCTTAAAATGAGTAACAAGATCATTTAACACAAAGCAAGAATAGAAGTTTAAATCACACATTTAAAAAAATTATATCAAAGGTAAAGAAAAATTAGATTCCTTGACAACATTTTCAAAAGATGTGACTGACATAATCCTTAATAGAAAGACAGTTACTTTTAACAATTTAGCATTTGCTTTTGCAAATACTAACATTTTACTATAAAGACGGCTAAATTCTAGGCTTCAACTGTGAAAAATCAAATATGGGGAAGCTATTTGACTATGCCTGAAGAAATATAAGATATTCCAGTAATCCAAATTATATAGTTTTAAGTTTTGTTAGCCCAAATGATAGATAAATGGTATTATTGTTACAAGATCTGTTTTTATTGGTCTCTATTTCTCCTAAAAGGATGATTTAAATACGTCCTACATGCATATGTGATGTCATTTTTAAATCAAAAACAAGGGTAATGCTGCTGAGTATTTATGCAGGTATTTTAGATACTACTTGGGACATTCACATCCTGTATCAGAAAGTCTGGGTTCGAGCCCCAGCTCTGCTCTCAATTCCAGCTTCCTGCTAATGCCACCTCGGGAGGCAACAGGTTAAAGGCTCAAATAGTTGGGTCTCTCCCACTCAAGTAAGAGAACCAGACTGAGTCCTTCACCTCTCAGGATGGCCCAGCCAAGTCCAAACAGTTGTGGGCACTTGAGGAGTGAACCAGAGAGCTGTCTCATTCTTCTTCTCTCTTCACCCACCTCCCGCTCTCCCTCTCCTTCTCCCTCCTTCCCCCCCTTCCTTCATTCCTCCCTCATTCTCTGCCTGTCAAATATTTTATTTTTGGAAAAGCGAGAGCTAATCATGCAATTCAGCATTTAATTATTAACTTTTATCTAAATGTCAACCCTTTAGCCAAGTTAATTCAAATCATCAGAATGCCTTTTAAAAATTATAATGATAAATGGTCTAAAATGCTGCTTGGTTATCTCTAACTCTTTTCTGTAACCTTTTACCAACATTATCATGAGGCTAATTTAACCAGTAATAATGAACTTTCTTTTCTATTTTGCCAATGAAACATGTTAAATATCAAGCTAATAAATTCAGAAAATGTAGAATCTTAGCATTCTATGAAATGCAAGTGTAATAAATGGTATGCTAAAGCACACACACACAGAGAGAGAGAGAGAGAGAGTTGCTTTCCAATATTTGTGGCTACCTTTGTATAGTTTTAATGTAATGTAGTACTACTGCATCTTTCATCTGAAGTCTTCATAATTGCTGTGAACATTATTCTCATTCTCAACTTCTCCAAAGATTAACTTTCATGACACAACATTCATAGGAGAGAAAGTGGTTAATCAGTGGATGACAAGAGTAAAGGGAGTTCCTGACCAATGGGAGGCAGAAGGGAAGCTGAAGAATTGGAGGGGGGGCAAGTTCTCTGGCTGACTCAAATGCCAGGGTATTCAAAGTCAGGACAAACAACAGCAACCAAAGCAAAAACCAAGATTCCAAAAGCTGTAGCCATCTAAGTCCCTTTAGCTATCTAAGTCTAGAAGAACTGGGAAATTAGATCAAATCTTAGATACCATAAGTGAAAAATCAATATGTAAGTTTTCAGGAATTGCTTCCAAAATCCATTTATAATGGAAATATTAGCTAAGGAGTCTTGTTTTATCTACTAGAGTCACCATGGGTTTGCAATTGATGATTTTCTAAATCCTCATCAGAAAGGCATTATAATTAAGAGGAGGGTGGTGAGGGAGAGAAATAAGTGTGACAGAATAACCCCTGACTTCACTGTGGGATATGTTCAAGGTGGTAAATATCTGGCAAAATACGGTCAGAAAAGTTTAGTGTTCTGTTGGAAGTGACTTGGGGTAAGCTGTGAAGGATTTAAAATGCATTATACTCCTCTAAGACACCACCATTTAGGCAGAGAAACACACAGACAAACCTGTTTGTTCTAAAAGATGCCACTGAAAAGGTACAAATTCAAAGAAAAACAATGACACAATCTTATTTGCATTGAGAAAAGTCCAAATACAGGGGAAATACAGGGTATATTAATATGTTAATATTAATGTTATTAATAAAATAGATAATGAAAAGTTTTAAAACAAAATTGGACAGAGTATGAGAGTTAGCATAAGATTTTCACATATGAAATTAATTGCATTAATATATTAAGTAAGGGGAGAAGATTAGATACATAAAATTGGTAATTTTTTTCCATCAGGAAGGCTAGCACTATGTTTCCTTAACTGTATTTTAATTTGTCACCCAGTGAACAAAAAGTTCCACATTTAAAAATCTTGTAATTATCTCAGTACAGGTTCTCTAGAAAGAAGGGCCCCCAGATCAAGGAATTCAAGTCAATAACAAGGAGGAAGGAAAAGATAGCTGACACAGGGAAAAGCAGAAAGCAGACAAAAGATGGTATATTACTTCACTGTCATAACTTCTAAAGAAAACGCAACTGGTTTCTTGATTATGTGGATAACTCTGGAGAAATTATAAGTGAAATCCTGTACCTTGGAATATTTTGTTAGAGAGATATTTATACACAAGTTCCTTACCAAATTCTGTATTTCGTTGGTAACAATTCATCCTATGGGAAATTAACACTCTGTACTTAACTGTATAGTGCTTTCCCTTCAGTAGCCAACTAGGGAAGAAATCCAATGGAGAAAGAACTTTGCTGGTTCTATTCTGATAAGAGATGGGTGTCAGATCTAGTGAGGAACCTCTCCGGGGGTGCTGTGAGAGACAAGCTAAAGCCAGGTTTTCACCTTGAGGGAGAATGCCACAATTAACAGTAAAAGGTAACAGTCATGGCAATCTATAGGACTCACCACTGAACAAGTGGTAAAAAATCTGTAGAAATTTTTGGCTAATACATGCGACCACTTACACAACCCAGATGCATTTTCACTACTTTCTTATATCCCAGTAACTTTTAAAACAAGGTCCTTTATCTTTTCCCAAAAGAATAGTCCAAGTAAAATCCTTCAAATTAATTGTCAATTGTAAATTCCTAAAGATTTAGAGACAGCAAACCAAATCACAATATTCAGTATTCCAGTGGATCCTAAATGGATATTCATCACCAATCTACCATCATTCATTCTAGATTTTCCCCAAAATCTGCCGGCACTTCAACTGGTCTGATTTGCTGCCAGAGGAATTAAGCCCTTACTTTCTTTGCACTTACATATTTTTGGTTGCTGTAATTCCTCATTCACATCTGTGCATGGGGTACCCCTGAGTTCCAGATGCATGTTTCTTGGCTCAGATTTTGTAGCATCAGATTTATATGCTAAGGGTAATGGATATAATAATCTCTTACCATCTTTGTTGATTGACTGTTCTGAGGAATGCATGTATACACCAAAGAACACATGTCAAATCTAGCTAGGGGGAATACAGCATGCTGTATCAGCTATAATTTTAGCAGCTTCACCCTAAATTGCAGGGTCCCAAATCTGAGGTTTCTTTTCCCATGTTGCTGCTTTAGTTGAGCTTTTTATGATTAATATTATTCCCTGTTCTATCAAGTCTGTGGCTCTCGGGAGATACAGTATGTAGTGTTCTTGAACTTATTGTTACACTTTCTTTGATATAGCAGCAAATGTCCCCGGGTAGGAGCAACATTAAGCAGGCACCATCCCGTTGATTGAGGTATTCTGTAAGCCATCGGATGTGGGTTCCAACAATGGCACTGTGAGGGATCCTGCTACATTTCACCCATTTCCAAGGTGGAAGGGATCCAGTTGAATTTGGCTTGTCAATGAAGTTCTCACCAAACATTTGTTTGGTCTCCACTGTTCCGTGGAGCACTGGTACTGTATTGGTGGTCAGGGTCAGCCTGTTCTTAGCATTTAACAGTTCATAGTAATAACAGTTATATTAGCTTTGGAGATGGATCCATTCCAAAGCTGTTTCTATCACCAGGGTAATTTTCTTCAGGGTCTATTGTCCAACTCTGGGGTAGTTGACAAAGGAGGCTGGCTGATATCTACTTGGCAGGTAATAACAGATACTTAGTAGGAGAGAGTTTCCTTCATAGTATTTACAAGTTTTACAGATATGATTTTTTTAAATATGTTTCTTTTTTCTTACCGTGCTGATGTGTGTGCAGGACTTTACTTGAGGGAGAGGGAGAGGGAGAGAGGGGGGGAGAGGGGGAGAAGGGGAGAGGGGGAGAGGGGGAGAGGGGGAGAAGAGAAGAGGGGGAGAAGGGAAGAGGGGGAGATGGGGAGAGGGGGAAAGGAAGGGAGGGAGGGAGGGAGGGAGGGAGGGAGGGATATTGACTCCCCAGATGGCTCAAGGGCCAAAGCTGTGCAGATCCAAAGCCAGGATCTCAGAGGTTCTATACCTGACTGTCAGTGTTCCCAAAGCCGCAGAAAGAACGGTGTGCTGGATATTTATTTTAAAAATATAAACAGTCTCCTGCCACTTCCCCTAGCCGGGACTCAAACTGGAGCAAAAATCATTCTACCAGAAGTCAGGTGTTGGCTTTACCCACTACACCACAGTGCCAGCCCCCAGGCATGATTTTGAGGTATAAAGATGCTTTGTGCTCACTCACACAGGCCCAACCATGTATCCAGTGCCCATATCGCTTGTATCCACTTTCTATTCTTATTTCTTCCAGCCCCATAAGGCCATTAACCCTACATGTTCAGTTTTTGAATATATCTGTACCTCACACCATTTTTCTTTCAAGTGAAGGGAATAACATATAAACAGCAGATCTGCCCACCAGGTGGATCACCTTCACTGTTGGCCCTAAAGTGCACACAACACACAGCTAACCTGTCTTCATAGCAGTTTTAGTTATTTTCTCCTCCATGAGTTAGTCACAGAAGAACTTCCA